CCTATACCTGTTCTCAGAACCCAGTGAAGCTGAAAACAAGTCCAAGATTCACTTGATAAAGAAAAATAAAGTCATTTTCTGTCCTCTCGTTGGCCTCCCCAGCTTCCTCAAAGGACCCTGGGCCTACTTACCTCAGACCATAGCCCCGAGTCCCGTTGTTCAGAGGCAAGGCTGAGCAGGACACCTAGGTCCTACCTCAGAGTTGAACTTGTACACCACTGACCTAATCCTTAGAGAGTAGCTCCTCCCATTCCCAAGCCAAGCCCCAGGGAAGGTTTAGCCACGGCCTATCAAGTTACTTGGTCAATCAGCTCTTCCTGCAGGTGGCAGATTTGCTGTCCTGGGTCTCCCCACAGGAGACCTGCTGTCCTTCATATTGAACACTTAGCCTGAGGGTTCCACTCCTACAAGACTGGCAGCAGGGTTCTGGGTAGTTCCCTAGGATTTACTGGAGCCTAAGAAACCCTTTTAATTTTAGAGCTGGTTTCAGGAAGGAAACTCCAGGACGTTTGTATATTTTCCAGCTGGATGGTAAACCTTTAATGATGAGTGTAACTGGGCTGTAACTGGGGAGACGGCTGTCTGGGAAGCAGATTCTGGAGCTCTTTTTCCCCCCATGCCCCGTGATTGCTTCCTGACATCTGATTAAAGAGTACTAGATTCTGCCAGGGGCGGTGCTGGCGCATGCCTTTAATCTCAGCGCTTGGGAGGCAGAGGCAGGCGGATTTCTGAGTTCAAGGCCAGCCTGGTCTACAGAGTGAGTTCCAGGACAGCCAGGGCTACACAGAGAAACCCTGTCTCGAAAAACCTAAAAAAAAAAAAAAGTACTAGATTCTAACCAGACATAGTGGTGGCTCCTGCCTGTAATCTGTGCACTCTAGAAGCTGTGGCAGGATGGCCATGAGTTTCAGGTTAGCCTGGGCTACAAAATGATCTGTATAGTCTCCAGGGGACAGGGAGGGCTGGATGTGGTAGTGCATGCCTATAGTACCAGGTCCTGGGAGGCAGAGACAGGTTGATCCTGAATTCTAGGCTAGCCAGGGCTATTAAGACGCTAATCTAAAAAAAAAAAAAGGAAGGAAGGAAGGAAGGAAGGAAGGAAGGGATGGAAGAATAAGCGAGGTAAGGAAGGAAGAGGCAGTGTGCTAATGACTTTTCTGGTTCTGTCCAATAGGGACATGACATAGTCCCGTGAGCTTCTTTTTCATGAAATGCCGTTCTGTTCCTTAAGCATTCACTTCTGAAAGAAGCTCTGACTCCTAGGAATCCCATCAGACTAAGCTCAGTGTCTTTTCCCACACAACCTGAGCTTGGTGGCTCACACCTAGCCTATACTTCCAGCACTCAGGAGGCTGAGGCAGGAGGATCACAAGTTTCAGGCCAGCCTAGACTACATACAAGACCCTGTCTTACCTCCTCTTCCCCATCAAATCCAGAAGGAGATGGGGCAGTGGTGAGCCCACAAAGGAGCTTTATTAAATAAGCAGAGTGATCCCACCAGGAACCACAGTGACCCGGGAATCTAGTGTCAGCTGCCTACACAGTCCTGGGCACACAGGAGAGAAACAAAGGGAGGCTCTGAGCTTCCTGGTAGGATTCCAGGTTGTCTTGGTCTGGCTGTCCACTAGTTGATCATTATCTTAGGCCATTTTCTCAGGATTGGCAATGCAGAGTTATGCTGGTGCTAAGAAGGTTGCTGAGTTCTACCCTTTGCCTTAAAATCGTTAGGCAAGACTGTTGTTCCTGAGGTCCAAGTCACTTTAAATGAGAAACACTCAGGAGAATTCACAAGAAAGGAAAAGAAACAAGATGGAGTCATAAACAAAGGAAGGGTTGGTGAGATGGCTCAGCAGATAGAGGCACTGGCTTCCGAGCCTGTCAGCCTGAGTTCAAACCTGGGATTCCACGTGGTGAAAGGAGAGAACTGACCCCCACAGGTTGACCTCTGATCTCCAGACATGTGCTATGGCACATTCAGGCCCCTACTGCCCCATCACACACGCACGCACACGCACACAAAATAAACAAACGAAAAAAAAAATTCAGAGCTGAAGAAATGGCTGAGCATTTAAGATACAGCAGCCAGAGGACCAGGGTTCAATTCCAAGCATCCACATGGTAGCTCACAGCTATTTGTAATTTCAGTTTCAGGGTATCCAACACCCTCACACAAGACACATGAATCAAAACACCAATGCTCGTAAGATAAAAATAAATCATTTGAAAAAAAAAAAAAGCAAAATTCAAAATGGTGTTAGATCAGTCAGTGCCTAGACCTCCTTCATTCCCTGTCATGACTCTGTCTCTGTGGAGTGGGGCCTACCTGTTATGTTTGCTCTCTCCTTAAAGGACCAGAAACCTGTCTCCACATAACCACCTCAATCTCTCTGCCCTTTAGAAAGGCTTTGGATCCAGTTATCTATTCCGGGTTCTTCCATAGTTACATGCTGGAGCATGATCCTGCTGCTCATGGAGCCAGAGCCTCAAAAACATTTACTGTCACAATCCCTGAGAAGCGGGTTGAAAATGCAGAAGAAAACAGGAAGGGTTAACCTAAGCAGGGACACTAGAGAAGGTCACAAGAGGAGCAGGGCTGGCAGCTAAACTGGTTTGTGTAGAGATTCCCAGGGAGAAACTTCTAGAAGATTGAGAGGAATGGGAAGGAAGATTAGAGGTATGTGTGTTGGGTGGGGTGGGAGGCTGCACATACTTAGAATATTCTCCTAAGAACAAAGGGACAGTGATGAAAGGATTGCAGCAGGAGAGTGCCATTGTGTATCTGGGAAGATGACTGGGGACAGTAAAAGCGACAAGTGAACGGGTTTGGAACTCATTCTGAAGCAAGAGGAGGCACCAGGAGGCTGTTCAGACTGAGCACCTCACTGCCTGTCTCAGGTGACAGGTTCCAGCCACAACAGGTTTTCAGTGCTCATAGTGAACGTAGTTCTTAGTCCATAATGGGGAAGCTGGAGGTATAATTTGCTAATAAGAGAGAAATAAAAGGAAAAGTCAGTTGAACGGGGGAAGTGGGTTTTTGGGTCAAGAGTTTGGAGAGGAAGTAGGGCGGGGGTGCATGATATGTGTGTACCCTGAGACTGGAACCTGGGGCCCCACACACGCTAGGCATGCATTCTGCTACTGAGCTACCTCCCCAGTCCAAACTTGAATTTGATGTCTTAATTTTGGTAAGCTGAGAGACGTCAAAATGCAAATCCCAAATCAGTGATTGGACAGAGCATAGGTGGGTTATAAACACATAGTTGGAACTTAAAGCCCGGGGATGGATGTGCTGTCACTTGACTGTGAAGGCACCTGGGCCTATGACTGAGCCAGGAGGTAAGATAGCAGAAAGCAGACCCTACCAGCAGCAAGAAAGTCAGGAATATGTGGGTCATGGAGGCACAGGCTGGGGGAAAGCTGGAATAGAATGTTTGGGAAGACGGCGCCTCAAGAGTAGGCAGTGTCTGCTGAGACTCTGGGCTACGTAAGACAGCCCTGCACGCTACTGAAAGAAGAGTCTGGAAGGGAGTATTTATGCTACGCATCTCCCCATTTAGTCGGCGATTCTTCCCATGACTATATTTCTAGAACATTCTGCACTTGTGTGTAACTGTTTTCCCCTATTCTGGGATGTTCCCCAAATGCTTCCTGACCCCTCCTCTGGCCCATTGCCTTTCTCCTGCTTTACTGGCAGTACAGACAGCTGTTTCACAATTGAGGCATGTGTGCCCTCTGTTGGTCTGTTCTGAAACTGCATCAGATCAAGTTTCCCTGCACTCCTGCCAGCAAATTCCTCTCCAGATCTGTGCAGTGTGACAGCCAGCCCTCCAGATCTCTGGGCTCTGTTCTGGGGTTGGAGGTGGGATGGCCAGCAGGACAATGAGGTCAGAATGCTGAACACAGGGGAATGTTGAGAGAGATGCCACAGGGCAGGACACCTTGAAGGTCATCGGAAGGACTTCAGCTTGTGGCCCCACAGCATCTAGTTCTCTGCAGATGGCTTCAGGCAGAGTCTGGAGTCATCTGCTCCATGCTAGTGTGGTTCTGGCTGCTTGAGAAAAGGGAGCCTGTGCAGCCATGAGAAGGCTCCTGTAGAACTCCGCACAAGATGAATTTGGGGGTCAGCCTGCAGCACCTGGGAGGACTGTGGGCTTTGAGACAGAAAAGTCAAGGATGGTACCAACCAACCTTGCTCAAGAACAGGTAATGGTCTCCTGGGATGTAGAAAGCTACAAGAGCACAGGCTGTGGGACAAAGGGCTGGGAACATGTTAGCTATGGGTTCCTGACGAACATCACTGGGGACACATCATGAAGATTTGGAGTTAAGTACGGTAGAGCTGGGGATAGATATCTGGGAATTGTCATCACTGGATGATATTTAGATTCATAGCATGAGACTCAGTGTGGATGAAAAAGACCAGGAATTCTGAAGCTGGTCCTGCTATACTGTACAGGAGTCTGCAAGAGAGGAAGGCAAGGTCAGAAAGGTGTACGAGTCTAACTGTACCCAGGCCAGTGGCACATGCCTGTGATTCCAACAGCTATCAGGAGGCTGAAGAGTGAAGACCAGAGTTCACAGACAGCCTCTGCAGCTCAGTAAGACCCTGCCTCAAAATCAAAGTTTTCATAGAGTCCTCACTCAGAGGCTTTGGGTTCAGTCTCCAGTTCCACCAAAGAATAAAGAAGGAGATGGAGAGGCAGCAGTCACTGAAAGTCAAATGAAGGAAAGAGTTTAAGAGAAAAATGAAACTCTCCAGCCCAGCATGAAGATACATGCTGAAGCCCCAGCCCTGGGGAGGGTGCAGCACAAATATTGAGAGTTTAACACCAGTGGGTCTCTGTCTCGGGAAGTGAGGGAGAAAAAGTGAGAAAGACAGGAGCGAGGGAAAGAGAATAATCCAGCTCTCTATGCAGGATGAATGAGGTTTAGAATATAGCCATGGTTTCTCCAGCATCCTTACAACTTACAGTAAAATGACTTGTCATTCACTCCCACAGGTTGTGGCAGATACCAACATAAGTGCCATAGCGACTCAGCTGGAAATCATGTCTACAGGCTCCCAGCTTGGCTCTCCCATTGCTGACCGACATTTGGAAGACACAGAGTGAGTATTATAATACAGAATGGACCTAGCACCTGAGCTTTCGGTTCAGGTGTATGTGATCTCAGAGTGTAAGGATGTACATGCTAAGTTCTCCTGACCTCACAAGGTCTCCCAAGGTTCCTAATCTCCAGAGGCCTTTAAAAATAGGCATTAGTTCCCATCAACCACATGGTGGCTCACAACCATCTGTAATGGGATTTAATGTACTCTTCTGGTGTATCTGAAGACAGCTACAGTGTACTCACATGCATAAAATAAATCTTTTTTAAAAAACAAAATAGCATTTTTTTTAGACTCGCATTCTTTTTTTTTTTTAACTTTCTTTTTTTTGTACAACTTATTTTTCTCAAATCGTAATTCATTCACACAGGGGTTATAAACAGAAAGGCAGGATGTGGGGAAGGGAATGATAATGGAGTGTGGGTGTTCAGGGGGAATACAGATATCTTCAGAACCGGGTATCAGCTGGGTGAAGGTTCAGGGGACAAGTCACTATGACTCTGCCTATGACTCCCTTGTCCTTATCTAAGTTGGTATTGTCTGCCAAGCCTACCTATTTACAAGGTCTATGACTACTCAGGCTTGTAAATTTCCACAAAACCTGCCTGTCTACATTAGCTTATAGCCATCTGTTTCAATGTTTTTCCACTGAGACCCAACACTTGGTGTTAGTATACATGTATGACAGGCCTATTGTTGATTTTAGGCCTATGGCTGATTTTAGGCCTTCAGTGTGTAAGCAGGGCTGCCCCTGACATCTCCTCCCTTCTCTAAGTATAGAAGGGCTGTGGCAATTCTAAACTTGCGAAGGCTGGGATAGAGGCCTGACCTCCAGTATTTGAAGGGGACCTTGTAATGGCTGCAGTCCCCCTGTTGTTGTCCAGTGAGGCATGAGGGCCATACCCGTCCCAATGTCTTTTTCCTGGAGAGGGGATATTTTTGACATCAACCCCTATGCAGTCAGGCTTGTCCCTCAGGGAACCCAGATATTTTTATCTTTTATTGATATTCCCTTGCAGTGCTTAGCCTCGCAGCCTAATCAAGAATTCAGATTGCCTGTCAGAGGGGGTTCTGGGTGGCCCCTCTCTGTTTGGTCTAGGGGCAGAAGTCCCCCCTTTTAGGTTGGGTGGAGATGGGTTTTGGAAACACCCTGTATAAAGTAACAACCTCATCTTGAGTCTCGTGGTCCTCCATAGCTAACTTATGATTATATATCTGAATAGGTTTTGCTACCAAATTATTTATCTGTTGTATCACAGAGTTAGTCCGCCTATTTGAGGGCCAGGGACCAGCAGAAAAAAAGCAAAAAGAACCCAAATAATGGTCCCAAGATGGGAGGAAATAGGGTTGACAACCTTGGAGAGGCTGCAAACCAATTCTTGTACCAGCATTCATCTGTCTCTTTCTCTCTCTGATTTTTCTCAGGGCCTTCACTACCTATTTCATGCTCTCTTTAACCCTCCTTGTCTTGTCTATGTAAAGGCAACATTCTTCTTTAAGGGCTGTACACAATCAAGAGCTGTACACAGCCTTTTCTATTGTAATAGAGTAAATCAAGTCCAATAAGTATCTTTGAGATTTTAGGTCTCTTCAAACAGCGAAACAAGGCATTTCTTCAGATTAGTGATGTCAGTCTCTAGCTGTTTGATGTTCTTGTCAATGGCCCTTCAAAGGTCTGAGTAGTGTAAGTTCGGAGACCAGCATCTGGATTAGAACTTCTAACAGCAGACATCACAGGTGATTCATTTTTACCTGGGATGCTGCCTGAGTTCAAGCTCTGAGGAGTCCCTCTTTCTCTCGGTTTTCTGGGGTTGGGTACCACAAAATAGCATTTTCAAGCTACCACA